CCAAGGATTGAGCCCAGGGGCACTTAACCACTGAGCCACATCTCCATCACTTTTTAAATTTTTTATTGTGAGACAGGGTCTCACTAAGTTGCTTAGAGCCTCACTAAGCTGCTGAGGCTGGCTTGGAACTTGCAATCCTCCTGCCTCAGCCTCCTGCCTGCCCTGGGACTACAGGTCTGTATCACTGCATAAGGCAACTTCTGACTGCCCACTGACCCCCATACCCACATTAACATAGGGTTGACTTGTAGATGAAGCCCCCTGAATAGGGTGGCCACTATGACTGTTCCAAAGAGGACCAGTTAGGGTCAAAAATTCCACCACCCCCATCATAAAGGAGGAGTTTGACACCTGATTGGCAGAGTGCAAAAGGTGGACCCCAGTTTTCATAGAAACTATAAAATTGCAATAAAATTTAGAAAGGCACGTTACCTTTGCCGTTCTCTGCTCAGAGATGACCTACTCTTCCTCCCCCCCCCCCCCTTCTCTCCCTCTCTCACTCTCTCATGCTCTCCGCTTGAGCCTTACTTTGATTTCACTTACAAAGTTCTTTTGCAGGGCTTTGGGTGACTAACTTTAAATTTTCTTTCATCATAACACTAGAACCAAGGGTCAGAGCTTCAGTTTCCCATATTCCTGTGACATTACCATTCTCCTGTCATGAACTTTGGGCTGAGTGTATGTGTGGCTTTTGTGAATGAAACTCTGAGCTCATGTCTGTCTCTGTGGGTACCTCGGAACAGAATCATGAGTTCACATCTGGTAAGTGTGGACCCCAAGTGGATTGATTGCTATTTTTAACCATATTGCTCTGCAATTAACCGCTCATATTTAAAGCAGGCAATTTGGTGAATTAGACATGTGTATGCATCATGACATCACCACCGTGGCTGGCACAGGGGGCCTTTCCTGGACAGTAAGCCTTTACAGCCCCACCCTCCCTCTACTCGAGGCCACCTGCTTTTAGTCACTACACAGTCATTTATTTGCATTTTTAGAGTTATGTGTAACTGGATTTATAAATGTTTTATTTGTCCTGCTAATTTCATGCAATGTAATTATTCCTTTTTTATTTTTTTTTAGTTGTAGTTGGACACAATGCCTTTATTTTATTTATTGTTATGTGGTGCTGAGGATCGAACCCAGCGCCTCACAAGTACTAGGCGTGTGCTCTACCACTGAGCTGTAACCCCAGCCCCACAATGTAATTATTATTTTTTTCTTTTGTACCTGGAATTGAACCCAGGGATGCTTAATTACTGGGTCACATCCTTAGCCCTTTTTATTTATGTATTTATTTTGAGATAGGATCTCACCAAATTACTTAGGGCCTTACTAAGTTGCTGAGGCTGGCTTTGAACTTGTGATCCTCCTGACTCAGCCTCCTGAGTCACTGGAATTACAAGGCATGTGCCACAACACTGGGAACAATGTAATTATTTTGAGACTCACCCATGCTGGGGCGTGCATCATCGCTCTATCGCTTTGTATTCCTGAGTAGTGTCACTGTGGCTGGACCATAGCCCATCACCTGCTGATAGGTTTGGGCTTGAACTGCTTCTAGCTTTTGGTTCTTAGCAAAAAAAAAAAAGCTGCTTAGAATACTTATGTATGAATTTTTAAAATTTAAAAAAGATTTTAAAAAAAAATTTTTTAAATATTTATTTATTTATTTTTTGGTGGACACAACATCTTTGTTTGTATGTGGTGCTGAGGATCGAACCTGGGCCGCACACACGCCAGGCGAGCGCGCTACCGCTTGAGCCACATCCCCAGCCCCTAAAAATTTTTTTAAAAAATAATTTTTAGTTGTAGGTGGACACAATAGCTTTATTTTCATTTATTTATTTTTATGTGTTGCTGAGGATCAAACCCAGTGCCTCACATATGCCAGGTGAGCGCTCCACCACTGAGCCATAACCCCAGCCCATGTATAATTTTTTTGTATGATAGGTGCTTTCATTTTTATTGTATACACAACTAGGAGTAAAATGGCAGTCATTGTAGCTGTACACTTATGTTTTATTTAAGAAACTAACAAACTGCTTTTCAAAAGTATTGTACCATTTTATATTTCTACCAGCAGCCTCTGAGAATTGATCCCCTCCCCAACCCTACCCCCATCTTTGCCATACTTGATAGGTCAGTGTTGAATTTTAGCCATTCTCATAGATATGAAGTCATATCTCAGGATAGCTTTAATTTGCATTTCCCTAGTATCTAATTCAATGAGAATCTTTTCATGTGCTTATTTGCTATCAGTATATCTTTTCTGTTGTT